CCTTTGGGCTTTGGGCTCTGTTTAGCACATGCCGGAGCCTCGGCTGAGTCCCCACTGTAACTATCAAACTGGTAGAGGAGAGAACTGACCTTGTATTAGTCGAGCAACTGAGGGCTTGATGTCGCACGTTTATCCGGCTCGATGTGCTGGTGCTGAGGCTGCTGTTGCTTACAGCCAGGTTGTGACTGATCGGCCTCTTCTCAGCCACCAACTCAAGTGCTCACACGGACGTACCCGTAAGGGTTTGTGTCACCACGTCTCGGGAGGGCAAAGACCCTGCTACACCACTGCTTAGACCTGGCTCCTGTGAGATAATTGAGTGATAAGTCCTGTGAACAGCTGAGCCGGTAAATCACAGGTTGGTTAGGAAGGAGTGAGCAGAAGGCGGTCATGGTTACGTCTTCAGACAGCGCAGCTGCAACTGGAGGAGGACACACGAGTAAAGACTGCGTTTTTGGGATGGCGCTTGTGCTGGCCATCTGCCCAGTGTGGTACTTTCAGGGACTACGTTGTACGTGGTTTGACTTGCTTACAGATACATCACTCACAGAGAGTGATGAGTTTGGGAACGGAGTGATCCCTGACCACGATTCTGGTCAGGTTTCCAGGTTATTTCAAAGACAGGTCATGCCTTTCTCCGGCTTTCACTCCTGGAAATCCCTATGTAGAAATGCCCATGTGGCTGAGACGTTCTACAGAGAGAGTCAATAACATTCTACAGTCAGTTTTACCCTGAGGTAGCACTGATTTACTTTGTTATTTCTAACGTCAGAGACGTAACTGTACCGTGCTGTGCCTTTCTCACCAGTGGACGGGAAGTGGGCCACGTGGAGCAGCTGGAGTGCCTGCACCGTGTCCTGCGGAGGAGGCAGCAGGCAGAGAACGCGGCACTGCTCAGACCCAGCCCCACAGTTTGGGGGTCACAAATGTGAAGGAAACGACATACAAATTGATTTTTGCAACAGCGATCCTTGTCCGAGTAAGTGCTGTGAGTTAGGATGCTTGTCTGCTGCCTGGGTTTGTACGTACGTGCGAGGGGAAGGAAGCCCTCCACAAATCGCACGCTCCCACAAAAATGAGGAGGTCTGAACACAGGGAAGTGATATGAGCTGCCTGGCAAGAGCAAAGGCATGTCTTCATCAGTCAGTGTGACTGGGACATTTTAAACATTAACTATTAGGAGCACAAACCAGTAGCAGCTGGTGCATGAGGTCCTGCCGGACTGTTGGAGATCGTGCACCTCTCTGAAGTTACAACTGCCCAGTCAGAAAGTACTGCAAAGGGATCTCTGTATCTCACAGTGCAGTGTAGTGACTCACTTGGTTAGTAATATGTTGTAGAATCCCACACTGGTTTGGGTTGGAAGGGACCTCACAGACCATCCAGTCCCACCCCCTGCCCTGGGCAGGGACACCCTCCACTAGCCCAGGTTGCCCAAAGCCCCATCCAGCCTGGCCTTGAACACTGCCAGGGATGGGGCATCCACAGC